CTGCTGATGATATTGCAGTTGTTGTTGTAGGGTGAGAGGATATTCTAGTTGGATTTGAAACTACAGTAGATAGCACTGTGCTCCCAGCTGATTGTATGGATGTCTTACTCAATTCATGTGATTGCCTAGAAGTTACAGTCACACTGGTTGTCTGAGCAGATGTCACAGTCACAGGACCAGTTGCCACTGTACTGCCTGACATTGAAACTGAGGGACTATTTGCTGCTGTGGGCCCAGCTGTTTGTCCAGATGTCACTGCCTCTCTAGGTGGTAATGTAGTTGTTTCTTCAACTGATGTTGCCTTTGTCTTGGTGCTTCCAGGTGTTGGGGCAGTCGACTCTGTACCAGTAATTGATACCTTAGTGGTTTTGGGTGCTTGAGATGATGGTCCAGATGTTGGTGATTGTGCAAGAGATTGTGCAGGTCTCTCTGTAACTACAGTAGACACACCAGTTGTTCCTGTTCCAGTAACAGTTTCTGTACTTGTTTGTTGTCTTTTTGTTGATGATGTTCCAGTTGTTGTCGTAAGGTGAGAGGATATTTTAGATGAATGTGAAACTACAGTAGATATCACTGTGCTCCCAGCTGATTGTGTGGATGTCTCCCTTACTTCAGGTGATTGGCCAGATGTTAAGGTAACCCTAGATGTCTGGCCAGATGTGATACCTAATTTACCATTTGTCACCATACTTTGAGACACTGAAACTGATGGACTAGTTGCTGGTGTGGGTCCAGCTGTTTTTCCAGATGTCACTGCCTCTCTAGGTGGTGATGTAGTTTTTGTTTTTCCAATTGATGTTGACTCTGCCATGGTGCGTCCAGTTGATGGACCAGTTGACTCTGTGCCAGTAACTGATACCTTAGTGGTTTCTGGTGCTTGAGATGATGGTCCAGATGTTGGTGATTGTGCAAGAGATTGTACAGGTCTCTCGGTAATTGTAGTTGACCCACCAGTTGTTCCTGTTCCAGTAACAGTTTCTGTACTTGTTTGTTGACCTTTTGCTGATGATATTGCAGTTGTTGTTGTAGGGTGAGAGGATATT